ACTAAAGCAACCTGAGGTGGTATCCCCTATATATATATTTACAAAAAAATATATATAAAATATATATTAAAAAAACGTATCGGGGTGGATAAGCTGTTGACTTAATCGCTTAAATAAAAATCGTTTTTAAAACTATAGAGGAAGAAAAGTCAATATTAATTTGGGTAACATTTGGCTATACTGTACTGTGATTGTGATTTACTTCCAATCATATTTGTTAATCCATATGCAGGCGATGAGTCATAATAACGTGGCTGAAGAATGTTGACCAGACCACACTAGAAAGTGAAGGGACGACGACGTTTCGGTCCGTCCTGGACCAATCTCACAATCGACTTTAGAATGGTCCAGGACGGACCGAAACGTCGTCGTCCCTCCACTTACTAGTGTGCGGTCTGGTCAACATATTTGTAAAGAAAGTAGCGTAGTTTATTGGGGTTATTTCCCATCTCTCATTGATTTACCGGAGAAAATCTATGATAAGTATTTTGTGATCGTATTATCTTCAAGCATCTTAAAGTTTAACCTTCAAAATCTTAAGAGAATAGTGATACAGACAGCTTTGATGTTTCTAGGGAAGAATATATATATTTGAGAGAACTCAATTGGAGAACATAAATAGAGTGAAGCCTAGAAGTTCGTGTCATGACGGCAGGAACGTGTACAAACTGTCTCTTAAGAATTCACAGCGAAGACAGAACTGTCACAGGGGGGCTCCTGTCTGACATGGAGTGGCCGCCAAGGGCCTCCAATGGTGCTTCTTGAGGCAGACCAAGAGACCACTGCAGGCTTTTATTTCATTGTATTTATGCAAGCCTCAAACACATTTCCTGTAGACCTGTTTTTATATTTGCATATAAATTTATAGTAAGTCATTGTGAAAAGGAGGCACACGTATGAATTTAAAGCCAAACTATTAATCATACAGTACTTTTAATTATATAATGATATATAATGATTTACGATATTTTCCTTGACTTTTCCTTAGGTGTAGTGGCTTGAACAGTCGCTTCGCTAGGCTAGCTGGCGGCCATTCGCTTTCACAGATTATAAATTGATCTTTTCCTCCATATACCTAGATGTAATACATCTAGGAAAATTATACACTGAAAAAACACGGATACTGGCATCTTATCTGCCAGCATTATGAACACTGTGGCTATCTATCCTTCTGAAAATAACGTCGTGATCAAATATATTTAAGCTTCCAACCTGCCGCTTTCCAGTATAGAAACAGGCTACAGTACATAATTTCCTAGACGTTCAATCTCAGTAAAATCTTTCAGGTCTTCTGAGTCTGCAAATGCACTAAGAGAGGTGTTTGCAGACTACGACCACTTTCAATCTTTAATGAGTGTTCCTTAAGACAATAAAAAGAAAAGGAAGGATAACTATCATGCCTCTTGGTGGCTCTCAATTCTAGTTTTTAGCCTCGTATAAACTGGTTTAGGCTTCATCTGGCTTGCTTGTAGCCGGTTCCGAGTTTAATCTCGTATCCCAGCAGGTGATTATTGCGTTCCCTCTTGCAAACTCCTTTGTTCTCGCAAGATTTCCTGCATTTGCTTAGAAGGTCGAAGAGCCAAGATCTTCGGATGATACAGTATTAAACCTTCGGATGATAGTGTATTAAACCTTCGGATGATAGTGTATTAAACCTTCGGATGATAGTGTATTAAACCTTCGGATGATACAGCATTAAAACTTCGTATGGCACAGCATTAAACCTTCGTATGATACAGCATTAAACCTTCGTATGATACAGTATTAAACTGTCGTATGCCACTATAACTATTTTCCGCGCGATAACTCCAATGTACAAAAAATGTGTCAAATGCCTTAGTTAAAATCCGAGAACACATCGTTAGTCTGATTTTCATTTCTATTAATTTTTGGATTTGATTAGTAATCAAGTGACTGCGGGCCAGACACAGCTGGGTTGACAGCGCTTCGGATTCGTAGTCCTGAGGTTCCGGGTTCGATCCCCGGTGGAGGCGGAGACAAATGGGCAAAATGTTTCTTTCTGATGCCCCTGTTACCTAGCAGTAAATAGGTACCTGGGAGTTAGACAGCTGCTACGGGCTTCTTCCTGGGGGTGTGTAAGAAAAAGGAGGCCTGGTCGAGGACCGGGCCGCGGGGACGCTATGCCCCGAAATGATCACAAGATAACCTCAAGATAACACTTAATTACTATATCAATTCCATGACATTATCACTCTGTGTCTAATTGAAACTAGTCACTAATTTTACAACAGGTAACCATTTGTCACTAATTATGAGCAAATTCATCCTTAATTATATATAATTAACTTATAAAACAGGTAAGTCACAATGTCACCAATTATGAAATAGGTTATCAATAATTTCATCGATTTGATTACAGGAAGTTAGGCTTGTGTTCAACGTCTCTGCTTATAAAGAAATCCTTAATATCCTTAATAGAAATTCTATGGCTTGGCGCTAGGCACCACCACCTGGCTCCTCCACACCACCTACAGGTCAGCACCACCACCTGGCTCCTCTACACCACCTACAAGTCACCACCACCACCTGGCCCCCTCCACACCACCTACAGGTCAGCACCACCTGGCTCCTCCACACCACCTACAGGTCAGCACCACCACCTGGCCCCTCCACACCACCTACAGGTCAGCACCACCTGGATCCTCCACATCACCTACAAGTCACCACCACCACCTGGCTCCTCCTCACCACCTACAGGTCAGCACCACCACCTGGCTCCTCCACACCACCTACAGGTCACCACCACCACCTGGCCCCCTCCACACCACCTACAAGTCAGCACCACCTGGATCCTCCACATCACCTACAAGTCACCACCACCACCTGGCTCCTCCTCACCACCTACAGGTCAGCACCACCACCTGGCCCCCTCCACACCACCTACAGGTCAGCACCACCACCTGGCCCCTCCACACCACCTACAGGTCAGCACCACCTAGATCCTCCACATCACCTACAAGTCACCACCACCACCTGGCTCCTCCTCACCACCTACAGGTCAGCACCACCTGGATCCTCCACATCACCTACAAGTCACCACCACCACCTGGCTCCTCCTCACCACCTACAGGTCAGCACCACTACCTGGCCCCCTCCACACCACCTACAGGTCAGCACCACCACCTGGCCCCTCCACACCACCTACAGGTCAGCACCACCACCTGGCTCCTCCACACCACCTACAGGTCAGCACCACCACCTGGCCCCCTCCACACCACCTACAAGTCACCACCACCACCTGGCCCCTCCACACCACCTACAGGTCAGCACCACCACCTGGCCCCTCCACACCACCTACAAGTCACCACCACCACCTGGCTCCTCCACACCACCTACAGGTCAGCACCACCACCTGGCCCCTCCACACCACCTACAGGTCAGCACCACCACCTGGCTCCTCCACACCGCCTACAGGTCAGCACCACCTGGCTCCTCCACACCACCTACAGGTCAGCACCACCACCTGGCTCCTCCACACCACCTACAGGTCAGCACCACCTGGCTCCTCCACACCACCTACAAGTCAGCACCACCTGGCCCCTCCACACCACCTACAGGTCAGCACCACCTGGCTCCTCCACACCACCTACAGGTCAGCACCACCACCTGGCTCCTCCACACCACCTACAGGTCAGCACCACCTGGCCCCTCCACACCACCTACAGGTCAGCACCACCTGGCTCCTCCACACCACCTACAGGTCAGCACCACCACCTGGCTCCTCCACACCACCTACAGGTCAGCACCACCACCTGGCTCCTCCACACCACCTACAGGTCAGCACCACCACCTGGCCCCTCCACATCACCTACAAGTCAGCACCACCACCTGGCCTCCTCCACACCACCTACAAGTCAGCACCACCACCTGGCTCCTCCACACCACCTAGAAGTCAGCACCACCACCTGGCCCCTCCATACCACCTACAGGTCAGCACCACCACCTGGCTCCTCCACGCCACCTACAAGTCAGCACCACCACCTGGCTCCTCCACACCACCTACAGGTCAGCACCACCACCTGACTCCTCCACACCACCTACAGGTCAGCACCACCTGGCTCCTCCACACCACCTACAGGTCAGCACCACCACCTGGCTCCTCCACACCACCTACAGGTCAGCACCACCACCTGGCCCCTCCACACCACCTACAAGTCTGCACCACCACCTGGCCCCTCCACACCACCTACAAGTCAGCATCACCACCTGGCTCCTCCACACCACCTACAGGTCAGCACCACCTGGCCCCCCTCCACACTACCTACAGGTCAGCAGCACCACCTGACTCCTCCACACCACCTACAGGTCAGCACCACCACCTGACTCCTCCACACCACCTACAGGTCAGCACCACCACCTGGCTCCTCCACACCACCTACAGGTCAGCACCACCACCTGACTCCTCCACACCACCTACAGGTCAGCACCACCACCTGGCTCCTCCACACCACCTACAGGTCAGCACCACCTGGCTCCTCCACACCACCTACAGGTCAGCACCACCACCTGGCTCCTCCACACCACCTACAAGTCACCACCACCACCTGGCTCCACAATAATAAAGAAAAAACATTAATAAAGTGCCCTTGACTTCACTTTTTCCCTTTATTAAATAACTTAGTGGAAAATACAACTTTCACATATATATATATATATATATATATATATATATATATATATATATATATATATATATATATATATATATATACATATATATATATATATATATATATATATATATATATATATATATATATATATATTTCTCGCAACAGAATAGGAAAAAAATACTTAATAGCATTCAAACCATAATAAACATACTTGGATTGATATTGTTATATATTTCAACTAATCCCAAGATAGTTAGCAGTTGTAAGATGCCATTTAAAGGTCAATTACGTGTTAGGGATGATTTAAAGCGCCCCAAGAAGCGTCAAAGACCTTCGAGGAGGTAGATAAGACAAGGAGATACTCACCTGTCTTAAGAGTCTTCCTCAACGGCTCCTCACAGCTTCCTCCAAGAGCTTTCCCCTAATCACAACCACCTACTGGATCACCACACACAAAAACAACCACTTTCGATCGAGCAAAAATGTGTAGGTTAATCTTTGTTATTCAAGAACACTTTTGATGCACCACATCCTCGGCGGGGTGTTGCACGGTTGCACTTGTGTTGACTTAGGAAGACCCCGTCTCTCACAGACCCAGACCTGCCCACTGGAGTGACCAACACTTGACTGAAGCTCAACATCCACCACACACTCGAGATGCCAAATTATCCCTAATCCTCACGAATCCCGTGTCAGTGCCCAATATGTTTCCCCCATTCCCTGCAAGATTAAAATCCCATATTCGTTACTACTTTAACTCTTCTATGTAGGACTAGTATATTCACGGGAATTTTGTGTAATTTATTGTTTATGGGAGTGAGATAGGGATGCCCCAGACTCGGGAAGCGTGAGAGTTAGTGAATGTGAAGGATGTTGAGAGATGAGAACACAGGTTGCCTCCAGGGTGGGCACTATTCGCGCCCTCTGCCAGACGTACGACACTCCACACACCAATCTAAACCTTCCTCCCTCTCCTAACTCTCCCAATCTACCTAAAACACTTGAACTGAACTCAAACCAGCTGATACAACACCAAGGATGGGTTATACACGATTGTATTCAAGTGGAAAGGGATATTGTATCAGTGGGCACCTGCAGGAATGAATCCTTTGCCTGGCAGCGAGGGACAAGGTGAGTCTGGGTACCCGGCAACTACCTGAAGCTCTTAGCTCCAGTTCTAATTTGAACTGATTACCTCTCTAACAGTCGGCTAACACGCAATTCTAATCATTTTTCTGCCTTGCTAATGTGGACATACACGTTGTGTGTCAGTTCAGTTAGCGGCTGTTTGCTGTCGTGTTCAACGAGGCCTTGTCGTTAACTTTTCTCAAGTACATCATTTATAATCCTAATGATCAGGTTCAGACGCTTAATATTTACCCTTTTTCCTGTATAAATCAATATCATTTGAACTGCTCATAAACTAAGTTAATTTATAAATCCTTTTCCACCTCGTTTATCCCTTTTCAGTATTTTGTACCTCGTGATCACGTCCTCGGCGTGAGTTCACTTATTTGTATGATGCATAATTATTTTAGATTTTGAATTGGTATAAATGTACCACTTGTACATTTATGAATAGTTTAAATTTTAATTACATTTTAATTCTCAACCAGTTTTCTTGTTCCTCAGTAGACAGAAGTTCTTGCGAGGTAGACTCAAGAATTTGGGGTTTACGGCCCTGTAATGATGCGGAAAATTGGTTTACTGAGAATTATATAAAATATATATATATAATGGTTGTATTTATCTTGTAAATTGATGTAAATGTGATCTTTATATTGTATATTATTTAATAAAGAAAAAATAAAGTCTTGTAATACACACTTGAGGCTGCCAATAATTTACCTGGAATTGTTAAATTTTAATTTATAATTTTGTAATTATTAAAGAAGACATTTTGAGAAATCTAATTCTTGCAATGAACGTTTCGAGGTAGCCTCCTTCAAGTCATTTTTTTAAAACTACTATTGTGATCATTTTGTATATATTGTCTTCCATACGGGCTCACCATAGCCCGTGCTACTTGGAACTTTTTGTTCCAAGTAGCGAATCTTAAACAACAACAACAATCTTAGACGTACAGAGAAAACCAAGATGCTAAACAACGAGATACTGCTGTCTGAAGATTAATATGTGTATTATATCATAAGCTGTACACAGCCTCAACATATGGCCCTCTTCAACATGTTGCAAAAAGGCCTCCCACAGGGCCATGGGGACCCCAGTTTGGGAAATAGTGAACGCATGTGTTTAAAGGCATTTTTATTTACGTCATACGTCTACGCACTTTGCATTTTATTACCAAAACTGAATGTAAGACAAGTTAATATCATGTTAAGGGAAGTACTATAGCAGGGTGTACTGTTAGAGTAGCTCCTTTTAGTACACCTCGCTGTCACAAGGGTGACCCAGAGCAATGATGGGTCTTAATTGGTCCGTTACCACTGTCAGAAAGCTTGTTAGGACTCTTGAAGTCATTTTAAGCCCCCATGGGTCACCCTGAAGGGTAGTAAGCGTAACTATCTCGCTGGTAAGCGGACCCAGTTATTGGTCGTCTGAACAAAGTTCTTTAAGAACGCTTTCAAGCATTTTTTTTGTCAATAGGAACTTAAAGACAAGTCTTTAGATTCTGGCCAGCTCCAGCACGGTCTCATAAAGGCGCGCCTTCTCTGTAAACGCAGTAGGCCATTGACTGACCATTTCCATAATGCAACCCACACTAGTCACCTGACTCACAGGCAGATATTTACAATTAGATGAACAGTGGTGAGCTCAACGGGCTCGCCATAGCCCGTGCTACATGGACATTTCGGTTCACAGTAGCTAAAACAACAACACTAGCGGTGTGAAAAATATCCAGAGTATGTTTTGGATAGACTATCCAAGGGTAAAATCCGTTTACCCGTTTACCAAGGATAAACTAGTGCCCTTATCCTAACCTACCAGAGGACCCAAAATTGAAAACGATTTTTCTAGTACGAAAATTTTTGCCCTTAGGTAAAGTATACGTCAACATGCGACGCTCAATTAGAAGGACGGATATCGAGCTTAGACCTGCAGCCTCATCACGCCACTAACAATATCATTTTATCCAATATTAGTAATAATAATTAAAGCCTATCAAATGTACCTTAACATAGTGCTAAGGTATTAATTAATAACTATATTGCTGATCAATTAATAGCTAAATTAAATAAATTAGCGTTTCTTTAAACTCTCGGCTGAATAAAGAATCTTTATTCCAGAATTACGAACGATATTCATGGTCATACGACCGCCAAGTGTTGTCCGTGCAACATTTAAATATACATAAGAAGTTCTGAAGTGTTGAATACCCAGAACTAACATTAATATATAATCTAGTATTAATAGGCTACCTTGAGCTACCTTGAGGTGCTTCCGGGGCTTAGTGTCCCCGCGGCCCGGTCGTCGACCAGGCCTCCTGGTTGCTGGACTGATCAACCAGGCTGTTAGACGCGGCTGCTCGCAGCCTGACGTATGAGTCACAGCCTGGTTGATCAGGTAAAGAAGCTCATATCAAGAGGATAACATCAGCGGCATATGCCAGGTTGACTAACATAAGAACTAGTATTAACAGAAACAATAAGCGTTCACATATTGTTCCAGACTTCAAGAAATAAAATATTGTGTCCAGCTCCCCAGATGAAGGATTTGTTTTATTTTCCGTTTCAAAAGTTATTAATTTGATGTCATACTGATGATGTATGACATCAATTATGGGGTCTTTACTGCAAAGTGGAGAATAAATTGTTGCATTATTTATATGCCACAATATACTGATATCAATCAAATTGTTTATTAGTTATAATAGTTCAAATAATCTTGTACTCAGAGAATTTAAATTCTTTAGGTTAGGCTGCTCATATTATGGTTGGATTGTTTGTCATTATGGTAAGGTAACGAACCAGTGCCTCGCTGCCTACAACCTGCTATTAACGAAATTGAGGGTGATTGTAAATATCTGACGCTTTAAATTGTCTTTCTTTATGAAAATTTGACAAGAAAAAACGGCGATTTTTCAAATTTTACCCAAACTGACATGCAGTTTCAAAACTACGATGGATATTTAAAATACTATGTTTGAGCCCGATTTTTGAACGTAATTGAAGGTGATTGCACACATTTTGAAGTATTAAATGTTGTCGTTTTATAAGGAAATTTGACCATAAGGAAAATGGAGATTTTACGCTGTCGAGAATAAGTAAACTATGGTCTCCATGGAAGAGTTTGTAGTATTAAGTCGAAATATCTGGTTTACAATCTAGGTTCATTCAGTTATGACACGACATGAATGTTAACGGATGCCATAGTGTAATCTAATGTGTTTTTTCCATTACGAACTCACGTAATGTCCCCCCTAATTCCAGGTCAAGTGCATCGCCTGTAATGATGCTTGCAAGAGATCATTGCAAGATGCTCATCCCTGATCACAATGAAACCTGTAGCCTCAGGTGACTTGTATGTTTGTTGAGACAACAAAGGAACCTCCATCCCACCCTCTCCATCTCTCTCTCTCTCTCTACCCTCCCTCCCTCTCACTCCCTCTCTGAGAGGGCTTCCAACATGCATTTCTCCACAATTAAAACCATCACAATCTCACACTTTCACGTTCCTCCGTGCGACGACCTCGACCACGCCCATCATGCTCCCTCGCCCCACCTTTCTGCGATGCCGTCACCACCCTCCTCACGCCCACAAACAGCTCTTTCCTGCCGCCCATCTTCATGCCACCCACCCACCCCCCGCCTTCCCGCGAACCCGTCTTCCTGCCGGCCGAACGGCCGCCCTTTTTGTCGGCCGCCCACTGCCTCGCTTTCATCCGCCCTCCGCCTCTTGCAGGGTCCTGCCGCCCACCGACCTTCTCTACACCGCCCACCGACCTCTCTACACAGCAACAGGTGCTCAACACCACAACAACAGGTGCTCAACACCACAGCAACAGGTGCTCAACACCACAGCAACGGGTGCTCAATAACCTGCGACACGACTCCCCCAACACCGGGAAACTTGCTCTATAATAAACTATTATTAACAATTTCGCGTTTGAGTGTGTGTGTGTGTGTGTGTGTGTGTGTGTGTGTGTGTGTGTGTGTGTGTGTGTGTGTGTGTGTGTGTGTGTGTGTGTGTGTGTGTGTACTCACCTAGTTGTGCTTGCGGGGGTTGAGCTCTGGCTCTTTGGTCCCGCCTCTCAACTGTCAGTCAACTGGTGTACAGGTTCCTGAGCCTACTGGGCTCTATCATATCTACACTTGAAACTGTGTATGGAGTCAGCCTCCACCACATCACTGCCTAATGTATTCCACCTGTTAACTACTCTTACACTGAAAAAGTTCTTTCTAACGTCTCTGTGGCTCATCTGGGTACTCAGTCTCCACCTGTGTCCCCTTGTTCGTGTTCCACACGTGTTAAATAGTTTGTCTTTGTCCACCCTGTGTGTGTGGGGGGGGGGGGATTCGAGTGAGGGTTTTGGCGTGCGCGTGTACGTTTGTAATTAGGTAAAACAGTTGCATTTATTACGCAAATGTAGCGAACAAACTGTCTACCCAACGAACTTCGGGCAAATAGTACACAGGCCTTTCACACATACCTCTTTTCTTAATTACCTGACATTT